TCCGGTAGTAAAGGCTATAGTAGTATTATAAATAACAAGCAGCAACTACGATAAACAAGGACATGACAAATAAGTATCGAAAGACTTTCCGTAATGTAAGGGTACCGCCGTGCAGTAGTACCACCCAATGAAAGCTATGAGACAATGTGCCAAGGTATTGAGCAGAGAAAAAGTGATCAGTGGTGGAATTCAATACGATGGCGGTTGTGCAGTTGGCGCAGATAATCGTTGCACCATTTTTACAGTGATCAGTAGCAGTATTTGCAGAACAACTTTCAAGTGTGCAATTGTACAAAAAATCCTTGAGCGCTCTGGTGCTGTGGAATATTGATCAACGACAATTGTTCAACTATGTAGAGAGCTGGAGCTACAATGATCAGTGCGGTCATCCTGTTCCACATGGGGTGTGCAAAAAAAATGCAAAGATCCACTATAGATTTTGGTTACTGTTGAGGGAGTTCATGGCAAGAGGGAAGAAGCTGTTTGAATGTCTGCTGGTTTTGGTGCGCATGGATCGGTAGCGCTTGCCTGAGGGGAGTAGCTGGAAAAGGTGGTGGGCAGGGTGTGGGGGGGGTCCAGTTGGATTTTCTGTGCCCTTGTCTTTGTTCTTGCAGTGTGCAAGTCCTCAAGAGTGGATAGGGCGGTGCCAATGATTTTTTCCACAGTCTTATCTGTCTGCTGCAGTTGGATTTTTTTTTCATTTTTGTGGCGGCCCCAAACTAAACTGTGATGGTAGAACACAGGACTGATTCGATGACTGTTTCAGCAGCTCATGTGGCAGGCAGTGCTTCCTCAGCACACTCAGGAAGTATTTCCTCTGCTGGGCCTTTTTTCAGGATGGAATTAATGTTGACCTCCCACTTCATGTCCTGGGAGACTGTGATTCCCAGGAACTTGAAGGTCTCAACGGTTGAGATAGGGCAGTTGGATAAAAGATACAGTGCAACAGCTCTGATCACAAGCTGCAGTTGCAGACTGCTGAGCGCTAACAACTTCCGGTGACACAGGTCACGTGCCACCGTAGGTTAAAGATTTACCTGCTTTATTTTATTTTTTTATATACTTTTTGTGAAAATGAGACTGATAGGATGATTAGGGTGCAATGTACATCAACACAAAAAATATATATTACTAACATGCAGAAAGACACACTGGTTGTTTGTTTTTTTTCTCCTGTACACCCCTCGCGATCGACTTAGGACCAGTCCGCGATCTACCGGTCGATCGCGATCGACGTAATGGGCACACCTGCCTTAGCACATCGCAAGATCACAGTTCAACACATATGAACATTCTTTTGCAGTGTTTAGCTTTTTCTTTGGCTTTTCCACTTATTTTAAAAGGAAGAGCCTCCACAAGAAAGCAATTTAAAATATTCGCATTCATTCTAGGTGTCCCGGTGCTCGACTGGTTAGCGCGTTGGCCTCACAGTGCAGAGGTGCAGGGTTTGATTCCGAGGCCTGGAATTCCTGTGTGGAGTTTGCATGTTCTCCCCATGCCTGCGTGGGTTTTCTCCGGATATTCCAGTTTCCTCCCACATGCATGGCAGGCTGATTGAACACTCATAATTGTCATTAGGTGTGAGTGTGTGCGTGGATGGTTGTTCGTCTGTGTGTGCTCTGTGATTGGCTGGCAACCGGTTCCGGGTGTCCCCCGCCTACTGCCTGAAGACAGCTGGGATAGGCTCCAGCATGTCCTGACATCCTTGTTAGGATAAAGCGGATCAGAAAATGGATGGATAGAAATTCATTCTGTCATTAGGGCGATGCCCAAATGGTATGACTGTATGTCTTCTGTCTCTGTTTGGTTTGTGCGTGTTCATGATAAATAACTAACATTGAAACAGTTTGTGACAACTCACTGACAGCCTCAGCATTAAAATACAAAGGTCACATGTATCGTTTTCTTTATTTGACCTTTATTTGGACAGTCCACCTCACCTGAAAAGAATGTTGCCATCTCTTTGGCCAGGTCAGGACCCCACAGGCCACAAACGAACAAAAAGCCAAAAAGTGAACAGATGGCAAAGCAGGCAGAAGTGGGCCGTTGTCCCTGAAGGAAGCCAATCAGGCATTGTCACAGAAATGATGGAGTAAACAATGACACAATCCATCAACGACCTGTCAAACGGCCAATTATTTCTTCAAAATCCAATATAAGGTTTCGTTCACTGCCCCGGGATGACACTATTCTGTTGTTCCTTGGGACAGTCGTGATGGTCGGAATGGGTTTCTGTCGCTAGATATTGTGGATTGAAATGTTCTGTGGGCTGGCAACATAGTTTCCAGCTTTTAAACTGTCAATCCGAGCAGGTGTGTTTTCTGTCAGAGTAACATCAACATTACACACCTGCTGTTCACAAAATTTCGCACATTAGGGTAGAATGCTCTGGTGTGAAACATCACATTGTTTTTAAATTACCGGTAATCAAATTAAGATAAATTACCATAATTTTCTGTTGGCTGGTACTGTAACTTATGCTGAAGTGTGACTTGTATATCAACATTAGAGCTCAGACTGGTATCCAAGATCCATCTATCCATTTTCTGATCCACTTATCCTCACAAGGGTTGTGCGGCGTGCTGGCACCTATCCCAGCTGTCTTGGGGCAGTCAGCGGGGTACACCCTGAACTGGTTGCCAGCCATTCGCAGGGCACACAAAGATGAACAACCATCCGTGCTCACACCCACACCTAAGGACAATTTAGTGTGCTCCATTAACATGCCAAGCATGTTTTTGGAATGTGGGAGGAAACCGGGGTACCCGGAGAAAACCCACACAGGCACAGGGGAGAACATGTAAACTCCACACAGGAAGGCCAGGCCCCGGAATCGAACCCTGCACCTCTGCACTGTTAGGCCAACGCACTAACCAGTCGACCATCGGGACGCCCGTGTATTTATATATATTTCTATACCCAACACAATTTAGTAACACTTCGGACACCAAGCTGACAGAAAAATTGGAGTTTGTATCAATTTTAGTATTTGACAGTCAATGCGTTACTCTGCAAATGGATAAATTATTCTTGTCGAAACAGGAATGACTTCTTACAGATTTTTAATAATAGAACATAGCTGTTCTGTCGATGGATACTGTATATAGACGGGTTTGACATTTTCTGTAAGCTAATAAGCTACGAGACAGCGAAACTAATAAGAGAAAGGGCTTGCAATCATCCTGACAGAAATAGGGTTTTGTTTAGGCACTGTCACTATTTAAATCGAGACACATTCCCTCATCGTGTTGACGTTAAATATTATTGTGCCATGTTGCATGTGATTGATTTGCTAAGTGTTACACTGCCTGAAATCACTTCACTCATGTTATGTGAGCAAAACAACACATTTATTCCGCCTATTTGTGTTTTGTTGGCAATGTTGGGACTTGTAACACAATACAAAACATGCGAAATGCAAGAAACATTACATTTCTCAGCAACTACAGTGGTGTGAAAGTGTTTGCCCCCTTCCTGATTTCTTATGTTTTTGGGATGTTTGTCACAATTATGTGTTTCAAATCATCAAACAAATTTAAATATTCCTCAGAGATAACACAAGTACACACAAAATACAGTTTTAAAATTACGGTAAAGTTTTTATTATTAAAGGTGAAACAAAATCCAAACCTACAGTACACCTTTTCACACTGCTGGTAGTAATGCAACATATCACACCGATATTACAGGACAGTAATGCAACGGTATGTGCTGTAAGCACTAAAATCCCGATGCACGGGGGCAAAGCTAATGACCACAAATGTATTACCGATGTCATCTTCATGTTTCAGTGTTGCACACAGGCCCCCCTTGCTACACAAATGTCAATCAAAACTTAAAATTCATACTGACTCTTGTGTCTCAGCAAAGGACGGCCAGTGTACGGAATATCCAACACACAGTTTAAATTAGATTAAATAAAAAACATCAACATTCTATCAGTTAAAATGGCCCAATTCATAGCTTTCTACAGTGACCTCCATTTAAACTTGGTAGCCGACGATATCCCTTACCCATAATGCACCACTTGACCCAGGGATCTGCCAGTGATCTATTATAGCGCCGTAGGACGCGGTCATTTTTTTCTTGAAATGAGAGGTTGGTCAAAGTGGGAGTAAATTTTAAACACACCTTATATACACACTATTAAGACAAAGAACTTTTTGAATGGAGTATTGATAGATTCATTGCCAACAGCCAGGGGTGGCAACTGGGGGTCACAGCATTTGCTAAGGGTGGCAGCCGCCACTCCTTGCCACCTTGTAAAACCGCCTATCCCCAGCAGAGAACTACAGAGCTTCAACGCATCCTCAAGTCCAGCGGTGTCAAACTCATTTTTGTCGCGGCCGCTTTGGAATTATGTCTTCCCGCGGAGGGCCGTTACGACAGTGAAACCGAATAAATGTTTAATCATCATATCGTATTATTACTTGTACACACACAAAAAAAAAAACAATGGCTCACTAGTTTTGAAATCAGTCAAGTATGTGTTCAATTATTGTTCAAGTGAGGGTAAACCGGGTCACAAAATGTCACAGTTATTTATCACATATGACAATTTGAGATTTCGGTACACATTTAAGCAAGGGTCAAGGAAGATGACACATATGATTTGCTTTCACGGGTCACATAAAATGATGTGGTGGGCCGGATCTGGCCCCCAGGCCTTGACTTTGACAAGCATGTTTAAGTCCATTCCACAATTTTACACTCTAAAACACAGGTGTCGAAGTCCGGTCCTCGAGGGCCGGTGTCCTGCATGTTTTCCATCCCTCCCTGCTGCAGCACACCTGATTCAAATGATCAGGATCACTATCAGGCTCCGATAGAGCTTGCTGATGAACTGATCATTTGGATCAGGTGTGTTGCAGCAGGGAGGGATGGAAAACATGCAGGACACCGGCCCTCGAGGACCGGACTTTGACACCTGTGCTCTAAAATGAAACATATTTTCCATGCTTCAAACATAAATTAAACCTCTTCAATTTCAAATTCCTGTGAAATAAAAAACTTTGTGCTGATTCGAAATAAAACCAAACGAAGCATTTGCCGCGAATTTACAAAATGAAATTGTTTTTTAGTGCGATTTCAACGCTTCAGATTCCTTTTGTCGCATCATCCACGGGATCCGCACCGCATTTTTGTCCATGCCTGAGCGTTGCCGTCCCTCCCACCAACCCTAGCAACAGAGTGAACATGGCGGCGTCTGGCAACGCAGAACAATCACCAGAACTATCTAGGCCGTTAAAGATACCGAAAACAGAGGTGCCATCCCCAGAGTCGGAGGATTTGAGTGACAGTAACCAGTACCACTCCGGCCCCTCCACACCCAACCGCTTCTCGCCGTTGAACGTGGGCTCCGGGGCCGCTGCACGGACGGTGGCCTCATCCTCCAACAACTACACTGCTTGTCGGGGTATGTCGTGGACCCCTTCCGAAACGAACGCCCTCATCGCGGTGTGGGGAAACGAGAGGCTGACGGAAGCCAAGATGCAGCAGTTGGAAGTCGCGGGCACCATGTTTACTGGTAAAGCCCCGGGCCCTGCCATGTACGAGCGGGTGTCCAGAGCCTTGTCGGAGTTGGGCTACGAGAGGACCCCGTCTCAGTGCCGGGAGAGGATGAAGGTACACATCATAATGGAGACACTCATCCATCAAAATAACCGTGCGTTCACACTGTGCTTTTGTCTAGTGATAGTGTTTTAATATTCAGTTAACGTAAAATCGTGACAGTCTGTGACAGACTGGTAATTAGATACGACCCAGTCCTTCTTTTGACTTTGATTAACTGTGTTGACTGTTTCAAAATGACGTCACACGCACTTCCGGGTTGCGCCACTAGTAAACAAACGGGGTAAATGGCTTGAATGATCATTTTGGGCTTCTCAACCGCAGGAGTAGTTTGGTCGTGTGAAGCGTTAGGCGATGTTTTGTGAATGCTCATGGCATCAAATGGTAACGGAATGCTGGGCATAATTTACGTAAAACTTTACATGCAAATTGATTTTAAAAAGTAGGTATGGTTGCAAAATATCAAAGATTAATAATTTGTTGACGTGAAACCAGCATTCTTAGACAGATATTTTAAAGACGATTCCAGTGATAGAAATATAATGTTCCTGTGACTAATAAAAGGAAGTTATGACTGTTTGAAAGCAGAAACAATGCAACTCAATGGGGGTTGAGATTATGTTTGACCCTTGTTTAGTACTTTCAAAATTCTTTGTAATTTAGTTCGTTGTATCCCATTTTCAAAGACAATTACCAATAGAAAGCTTTCTAAACTTAGAAACAGACATAACAACAATGGTAATTTTTTTTCTGATGAGTTAAGTAATTCCTTTCACTAGTCACTTTCACGAGTCACTGACTAGACAAAACAACAGGTAAATGTCACTGTCACAAAAAAAAATCATCGTAATCTGACACGTACAATGAATATTAAATATCACATTTCAACAGAAAATTATCTAAAAGCCTCATTTTAGTAGTCATGTGCTATACAATCGTAAAGGAACATGAATGTGACGAAATACAGCAAATAAGGCAAAACTAACGACCATTATTACTGTACTGATTTTTTATATGTGCCATGCAAATAAAAAAATAAATAAAAATTAAGATTTGAGAATAAACAAACACGCCATATAGGAACACATATTTCACAGTTTGGAAGCATTTGTAATTCATGAAATTAGTGCTGGAAGGTACAGAAAATATGAGCCATTATGGTGGGTCAGAGAAACATCACAACGGACCTGGCAAACTGTAAACCCCAAAAATGTGTCTGTAAATCGACCTATAACCCCATTTTCAAGACCATATGGGGCACCATATTAAAAGGTGTAGTGTCACTTTCGGCTGCTATTTCTGTCTATAACAGATGCACAAGAGACATCGTATTATTGGATGCAGGTATGGTAAAACTTACACTAGCTTAAAAAATACGGTAGCATGCATGCATGTTTATTTATGTTTTTGAAAAGGCAGCGGGAGCAAAAGTGAGTTCGGTTGTATTTAGTGATGTATTTAACAATGTACTCACAATATTTTTATGATCAATCCTCATTCGTAAATCCATCCAAGTTCTAATCTTCTGTATCTGAAATGAACAGCTGGTTAAGTTCACAATCAAACAAACACGCCAGGTTCCCTTGCATCATGGTCAGAGTCAGTCTCGTCTGCCGTGCGGCTCCTCAGAAATTATGCCAGCTTTTGCATGAGCTCGAATAACAGTGCAAGCAGACCAGTTAGCACAAGCATCCAGAGTCCATTCAGAAATTGAGGCGGAACTCATCTGGTGCTGCCTCTTCCTAAAACTGTGTTCGCCATCGCTCCGACGCCACTCGCAACTTCACTTTGGCCCTAATGAGTGTATTGCTACCGTGCCGGTCCCCTTCTTCTCTACAGTATGGTTCACCGGGATGTCGAAAGTGAGCGGCACCTCGTCTGTATTGGCAGTGTGGTTGGGCTGGATGTGTTTGTCGGGAATCTTTTTGTTGTATTTCAAAATTTAAAGTATGCTTGTCCTTCATCACTTGCCCGAGCCTAAGCCGGTATGTAGGAATGTGTGGATTTGTTGAGAGAACAGTCGGCAATGGAAGCCAAGTGAGGCCAGCGGAGTGGCAGAATAAAGGATATCCAAGAAAGCATCTTTATTTAATGTAACGCAGAACACTACACTTTTTACTGCAGTAGGAGCGGAAGATGGCCAAATACTATCAAAAGTCATGTTCAGTTTTAAGTTTTCACTTTTCCACATCCAATACAGTAAGTATTACACCTACGGACTTCTGTCAAACGGAAATTCTCTCACCCGGAATAAAAACCTATGCATTAAAATTTCGACTACGATATTACATTAACGATCGATTCATAACAACAGAAGTTCCGGAAGCCCGCAGTAGCGCAACCTCAAGCAAGTCCCGCTCGACACTACGGAATAATTCTGTCCGCGCCTCTATTTATTCTCATTGGATCCAAAACGGCGACGTGTAAGTAACTCTATTGGCATGAATTTTACTGGAATCGCGAACGATTTTCTATTTCATTCATTTATATTTACGTCTTGTAGATTGTGCCATCCAAACGAAGAGGAACAGTAATGACCGTGGAAGAGAGAGTGGAATGCATCCGATTAGCTGCTCAGAGTAAATTGCTTGTGGTTTGACAGACAGCGTTCGAGTAAACGAACGTTTCCTGGAATGCTGTACCTGTTGTCGTGCTAAAAACCTTCCAGTAACTGGACCGCTAATTAGAGAGAAGGCGACTTCCATTGCGCTAACTATGGGCATCGAGGACTTCAAAGCGTCCCGTGGCTGGCTTCATAAGTTCGTTGCACGACATCAGCTGAGCAACGCTGTCTTGGGTGGTGAAGGAGAGGAGGTCAAATTAGAGACAGTGAGTGCATGGAAAGAAAAACCACCAGGTCTGTTACTAATCTCATTTCTTAGCAAATAGTCCTACTTTTGTGACGCGTCTTGTTATACTGTATTTTTTCACTATACCTGTACTGTATGCTGCAGTTTTTGGGCCATATATTTTTGCATTTTATTGCTTGTGTTATTACACATGTATTTTGTTAACATACTTGCATGTTCAATAAGGACATGTTCCATAGTGGTTTCCCACATAAGGATATTCTGTTATAAGGAAAGATTGGACAACGCAAATTTGATCCCTTACCAGTGGCGGGCCGTGCATTTCAACCTTAGGCCTTCAGTGACGTCACATACATAAACACAATACTGTACAGGCTCGTCAAGCAGCACTTAATTTCAGGAGCATTTAAAACCATCATGTATGCATTTACAATTAAGAGCAGGAAACTACATTTACAGATAGTCAAAAATAAAAAGATGATTTAAAAATACGAAATAAAATGCCACCCAAATTACGCTGTGTGAACAAGTCTGTCCAATAAATTGCGCAATGTCACAGTTTCATGTCAGACACCAACCAAACAATAACAAAACAAACTGTTCTTTGAAAATAAAGTAAACAGATCATTTGCATTTTGAAAATCGACGATACAACAGCAAATAACTGACATAACTGACTAACTAATAACTGACTAACAGCTGAGATTGAACGAACTTTCGTGCACGAAGGTGATGACAATGCGCCATTATAAATTGCAGGTGAGCAGATTTATTTGATACATGTTTGTATCTTTGTCATTTTATTTCGTTACCACGAATTTAATACTAACGAAATAAAATGACAAGAAGAAATGTAAAATAAAATTCATTGACTCACCAATGTAGTTCTCACAGCGTCTGCTTATTTGAAAATAAA